CCAACATCCCGCGTGTTTTCATCAGAGTATCAAACACGGAAAACTGTTTTTGATCTGTTTAATAAATGTGTACTACAACCTTTTTGCAATCAAGTATATGTATACATCGTTAGCCGGTATAAAACTCAGTTAGYAATATTAACCCTGTATCTTGTTCTTTTCACTTTATCGCTTCGGGTTGATCTTAAAAGAAAAATAATTTTAGCTTGATTGTTAACAGTTTGCTTCATCAGCATAGATTCACCCACCATGAAAGTGACGTCATCAATCAAAGAAAAAGAAAACATCTTTTGTGAGAAAAATGTTTTTTAGAGGTGTGACTTTGGAAACGTCGGCTTTTTGGGTGTTGAATAATAGTAGAATAATAATAGAATCGATACGATACTCTAGAATATCGACAGTTTTCTATCTCTTTCAATACAGCCAAGATTGATAATATAATATCATCAGTCTGCGCATATTTCTGTCGGCACGTGAGTCAATCGACTAAAATATTGCATGTAAAGGCATTGGCCCGGTTTTGATTCCTATATTTTGTTGTGTTTGCCGTATCATTGTCAAAACCTTCCTTATCACCTCTCACTATCTTCTACACTTCTACACTTAAATCAAGTCTGTTCATAGTATTTTTTGTTTTGTCTAGCATGCACGGCACGATGGGTAACAAGATGGTATTCGCACCAACTCCTTTTTCTTTTTTACAGACTGAGATTTTACGAGGGTAATATCGTTCGAACAAGCAGAGAAAAAACAAATTCTGCGAGCAAAGGTAAGTCATTGGATAGTTAGCTAAAAACAGGGCTGTTCAGAAGTCTAGTACTTCAAGTATTTACTAGGAATTTACAATGCAACTTSCAGCGGTAGAAACAGCAGCGGATTGAACGGGGTCGTTAGCAAGATATTCTAACGGTTGTAGGCAAATTTAAGACTCGTGTTATTTTTTTCGTTGACTTGGTACTATAATATTCGGTTTTTCAGTTGAAATGAGTTTGTTGCTTTTAGTGTCTGTTATTGGCATGACTCGATTAAACATTAGGCCTCAGATAAAGTTACTCAGAGCTTTAACCTGGCTTAACGCCTAAAAGGTGAAACGTTTAGCCGAACCTTATATGTTTTTTCACCGGAACTACACTAAGTATATAAAAGCCCGTAAGAAAATAATAAAATCTCTTAATGATTTTCCGCTTGCCGCTTTTCTCCGGGTATCAACCATCTTTCATGCTGCTATGGATTTCCTAACATTGTGTGGATTAGCGTTTTCCCCTCTTTTGTGCTCCCCCCCCCCCCCCCCCCCCCCCCCCCTTTTTTGTTTTGTTGTTTTCGTTTCTTTCTCTTTTTCTTTGAAATTCTTCTTTACTTCCTTCATTTTATTATTTCCCTCTTACTGCGATCATTTTTTCTTCGTTGCTTTTGGATTTCCTCCCATACTTCCATTCCTTCTTCCTTAAGTTTTTCTTTTTTCACTTGTTTTTCATATTCCCCCATAAATTTTTACTTAAAACAAAAAACAAAAAAACAGGAGGCCATTTCAAGAAAATACGAAATATATTTCACATGTAGGAATCACCTCTAACTAGGCAACTAGCAAATACATAACTATCTAACAGCTCGTTCATCCACTTAACACGAGTTCTATCGTGAAAACACCTTGCAGAAGAGAAAATCGCCGCCGGGGGAAAAACGCAGCATACGGATTCGTTCTAACGTGGATGACGTACTCGCTGAAGGACTAGTTGCCATAGCAGCAACACCCTTCAATTTCTTTCTTCGTTCTTGAGTAAACCAGTTCATTAGCGGTTTCTTTGTTGTCCTTGTGTGCTAGGGGATCTCAAGTTAACTTGTTAAACTCAATTCCCATAGTTGCTTCAGTATTTACTAAGCTTACATCATTAGTTGCCTAAAAATCTAGATTTGCTAGCACGTTACGTACAACAGCCTCCAATATTACTAGACCGAGTACACTAAATCATTCTAAAAAAAAATTCTAAAAAAAAATTAAGGAGGCTCGGAAACTGGTTTTCTAGAATTGAACGCGCCACGCTATCGATAATGACACTGCTGCTGTCACATATGAAATTTACAGTAGTGATATCCATGCATATGATTTCTAAACACTACTTGCATTTCCGTAAAGTAGCTTAATTTTATGCCATTAAATAAAATATCTGTTTGGTTCGTTAGAGTGCTCACCATATATCCGTGAAAGACATTGTAAAAAATTCCACAAATTTGCGCAAATTAGCAAGTTCAGTAGATCGTAGACCTACAAACCTTTGGACTTATTTGTACAATTTTGTTATCTAACTTTTTCAAGGGTAGGATTTATGGTATTATGTGCTCTAACCAATAATGCTTTGTTTGGCAAATTAGTATCAATCTGGTGACGTCAGCGTTAACGTCAGATTTGTATCGTGAGTATTTGTTAAAGTAGGAAAAGAGATATCGATCTTTCAAAGTAATTTCTGCCGATATACAGATCAATTGCCTTATATCATTATCAACGCTGAAAATCATGGTCTTGAGAGGGTTACAAAACAGCAACACAATAAAAACTGCGACAGTGTGATAAACATTGTATTTTTAGAGCCTAGGAGAGCAATAACAGTCAACATATATTTTAGGTTAAACACTGGTTTATAGAATGTTTTATAGAGCAATTGAAGCATTGATAGGAATCGATCAAGTTTCTTTATGTAATTAATGGTGCTATTCTTTCTAGACCAATGACCTTGTTTTCAGTTATCCATAGGTGAATCCAGGTAATGTGACTACTAGGCACACAAAGCATGATTTTCTGATCGAAATAAGAACCATTGCCATCAACCTTCGAGTTCTCATTGCATTTATCGAGTTTCGTATCGGCCATCTTGAAAAGGAGCTATATATATACATACATATGTATACACCAAATCGCTAAAACTTTGACAAATTATCGGTATATATACATATATAAGTATCCCCTTTTTCCTATTGTCTTTCCTTGAAAATCCAGGTAAGACAATAGAAAACAGGGGGATACACATATATGTATATATATCGTTAAAATGTCAAA